TTTTCAAAAATATATCTGAGAAATTCTTTCATCAGATAATAGCCATATTCAGAATGACAAGAACTAGCATTTGTAATTTAATTTACACATTTTGAAACCATGAATCGACAAAATGTTAGACCATCATTAGAAACCTCGAAGCACTGGACATCCATTTCGTCCTGGTATGGGACTCATCAGCAGTAGTGCGCATCCACGACTCATGCAACTCACAGGATTCGAACACAGAACCTTGGGTCTTGCGCATGAACGACTTACATCTGGACCACTAAGCCGGTATCTTACTGTGTTAATGTCCGACTTCGATCAATTCACGGAGTTGCGCAACCTCATACACTGTCATCGGTAGTTACTGTCTACACCCGAACAGGTTGAACTTCACTGGTCACGACTTCCCACTAGAACTCGGAGAATATTCTTCACGGAGCTAGTCACTAGTGAGCATAAGTAATTGCATTACGCTGTTGTGAAGATTGTTAAGTTGTACATAAACACCGTTAGATACCGGCTCAGTGGTCGAGAGGTTAGGCGTTCGCGCGGAAGACCTAAGGTTTTGTGTTCAGATCCAGTGGGGTGCAGGAGTCGTGGGTGCGCACTGCTGCTGATGAGTCCCATACCAGGACGAAATGGCCGTCCAGTGTTTTGAGGTTTCTAATGGTGGTCTAACATTGATCGATTCATGGTTTCAAAATGTGTAACTTAACAATCTTCACAACGCCATAATGTATTAGATATTTGTTTACTAGAACGATGCTTAGAAGCCAAACTAATCAATATTTGTGAAACACAAAGCATAATCATCAGAATAGGGTTGTGGAGATGGTTGAAACTCTGAACTGATCAATGTTAGATCACCATTGAGAACTGTGAGAAGCCGTGACCAGTGTAGTTCGACTGTGGTGTATAAGAGGCAGTTACCGATCGAAGACAAAAAATGATGGCTGCTTAATATCGTGGATTTAGTCAAGTTAGACATTAACACAGTTGGATGCTAAATCAGTAGCCAAGAGGTTAACTGTTCAAGCACGAAACCGAGTGTTCCGGATTCAATTCCTGTTCGTCAGGTCGTAGATGAGAACTACTGATGAGTCTCATACTACGAAAAACGGCAGTCTACAGAGCTTTAAGGTTTCTAATGGTGGTCTACCTCAGATCGATTCATGATTTCATTAAAACACTAGTTAATCAACAGGAAACAATCTACAATGATATTATGAATGCAAAATTTCGCTTTACATCTAACAGGTTGCGAACGAAACCATTTTTTAGAAGTTGATATCACATGGGTTGCCATCACAGATAAAACGAACTGTTATTAATTGTTCCAGTTCAATCTACAACAACAGTGTGCACACATTCACGACCTACAAGTTCCTTAAGAAGAAAATTACACCTTTAGACAGCTTTAAAACCTTTGGATTTGCAGCATGGGGTTATGGAGATTGTTGAGTTACTTTTTTAAATCATGAATCGATCAATGTTAGACCTCCATTAGAATTCTGGAAGTACTAGGCGGCCGTTTTTTCCTGGTATAGGACTCATCAGCAGTGCAAATTCGCGACTCCTTGAACGACATGGCTCAAAATCGTCTGCGATGGCACAGTCGCATCCACTCTTTGTATTCTCTCAAATTCTAATCTTCTGAATTCCTCATCATCTTTCGCTTTCTAAATTTGTCTCACTGAACTATACTTCTTGAATAATATCTTCGAACCCTAATCTTCTCCGTTACTACTAATTCTTCTACTATTGCTAGCACTATTGGATTTGAACTGACAGTTGCGTCTCTGTGCTAATGCAGTATGGCAACCTGAACTGATGTATGTACGTACGAAGTCCTACGTTGTAAGTAACTGACTGACTCCTGCAACTCATATGATTACAACCCAGGACCTTCGTTCTTACGCCTAAATACCTAACATCTAACGGTGCCAATGTCTAACTTCGATCAATTCACGGTCTTACGCAACCTCATACAGTGTCTTTTTGGTGAACGTTAGTCGACAGCCGAACAGTGCTGAACTCGAATGGTTACGATTTCTCACTACAACTCGTAGAAACGTCCTCACGCAGCTAGTCACTAATGAGCACATGATAATTTGCACTATAAAGGTTATAGAGATTGTTGAGTAGTAACTTTTTTTCAAATCATAAATCGATTAACGTTAAACTATTATTAGAAACCGTCATTCCGTAGTGTAGCATTGATCAATAGAGAAAGATATGAGAGGAATGAACAAACATTGGACAGAACTGGAGAAGGAAGCCCAGGACAGAGTTGGTTGGAGAAAACTGGTGGGCGTCCTTTGCCCGATTGGGGGTAACAGGCGTAAGTAAGTAAGTAAGTAACTAAAACTCAGCTACAAATCATAACTATTCAAAAAAACACAGTCAGTCAGTTGCCACGCACAACTACGTACGTATGTACATAAGTTCATGTTGCCATACCACATTATTAACACAGAGACACAAATATCAAATCAAATCCCCCATAGTGATAAAGATAGTAGAGGTATTAATGGTATAAAGAAGAAGACTAGGGTTTGAAGATATTATTCAAAAAATATAATTCAGTGAGATAAGGTTAGAAAGACAAAGGTAGAAGTGCTGATGAATCCAGAAGATTAGGATTTGAGAGAGCTCAAAGAGTGGATGTACTTGCGCCATTGTAAACAATTTTGAGCCATGTCATTCAAGATCTCTAACCATTAGCGACTTTCGTCTCGCGGACCCCAAATGATATAACAATTAAAAGACATTTGAAATCATCAATCAATCATTGTTAGACCACCATTAGAAACCTGGAAGCACTGGACGGCCGTTTCGTCCTAGTATGGGACTCCTCAGCAGTGCGCATCCACGATGATTTCAAATGTGTAAAAAAACGCAAACCTCCAAAACTGTGCCCCAAAATTAAAAGACACAAAAAAAATAAAATTTATTTTTATTTTTCTATAAGTTCAATCGACATATATATGTATATATTTATTATCAACCGAACATGAATGAAGAAAGCATGATAAATATCAAGAAGAGAAGAAAAAAAATAGGATTCCGACTTGATCAACATGATTTCGCTCTTTTCATCTACACATATATATATATATATATATATATATATATATATATATATGTATATCTATCCAACAAAACAAATTAGCCAGGAATGATTGACAACAGTAATTGAAGATAGATTGGGTAGAAAGAGACAGAGAGAGAGAGAGTGAGAAATTACAATTCAATATTCAATAACACACATTATTGTCAACTATGAACTGTGTGTGTGTGTGTGGATAAATAAATATCAAAAATTTCAAATAGACGAGTGAGGAGTATACACCATAATAATATACATGTAGAAGAAACAATCTATGACATAATTATTGAATACAACGTATATAATAGTAATAATAATAATAATATTGATATTATTGATATTGAGAATAATGAGAATTGTTTTAATACATCTCTTTGTGTAATAAATCCAATGACCGCCAAAATAGAATTTAAAAAAAAGCGCGGGAAAAATAAAACCACACTCCATGCATTCATGCATTTATTCATTGATACATTGAACAACAAAAAAAATGAACGCTACAATTGCACAGCGCCATTCATCGCAAGAGGAAACAACAACAACAGCACTTAAAAGGAAGAGGGAGACAGAGAGAGGATAAACAAAAAAGTCACTGACTTAGAAAATCAAAAAAAAATATATTAGTGTGTATGTGAAATAAATTTTTCAAAAGAAAAAATACACCATACAATTCAATGGAATGAACTATGTAGAGAATAAGAAGCTGAGGAGTTAAAAAAAGGGGGCGTTTTGAGATTTGGAGACCGACACGGTTGCTTGTGTGTGTGTGTGTCGTCGACACATGAACAATGACATGAAGCATTCAACAAAAACAATGTACTTTCAAGTATGCATATATGCATGACAAATGTATTTAAGTGGACGATATGTGGGGATAGGAGTAGTATTTAGTTGATATAACCATTATATAAATATATATATATATTGCATAGGGTGTAGTATTATAGTTTAATCCATGTGTGTTGTCTACATTTTATTTTATTCAAACATCAAATAGTTTCTTTCAATGTTCAATGTTCAGTCCACCAGAAAAAGTTAGTCTGAGTGGAAAAAAAACAAGAATAAATCGACTCCACATGCAACAATTCACAAAATAATAATAATAATAATAATAATCACCACACGCAAACGACACTGCTAAAAATCAATAAATTTTGACCAAAGAAAAAAACAAAATCAAAATGTGAAATGGCAATCATGATGATGAGAAATTACGGATGAGAATAGAGGAAAAAAGAAGGAGACGTAACAAACAAAGCAGTCAATGAGAAGATCAGAAGAGACAAATAGATAAGAAGGTAGGTAAGTAGGCAGGTAGGTAGATAAGTAGATGAGTAGTAAATAGTCTACTAATCAGTTGGGCAATATTAACTATGATTTACTACTGAAAGTAGTAGTTGTAGTAGCGGCGGGCATTCTTTTTTGAAATAAAAACAACAAAGTTATTACTTTCTCTCAACAGATCAACACACACACACACAAAACATTTATTAGCATTGTATCTGTCTATCTATCTATTTATCTCGAGAACTTTTTTAAAGAAAAGGCGAAAAAGGAAAACAGCCAGTCGTAGAAGATAGACAAACAGACAGACAAACAAACAAACATGTCAGTGATTTCAATTGGATATTTTTATAACTAACTAGTACTGACAAATTAATTATGCCAGAAATGTTCGCCTCGATCAATTGTGTTGCACAAATGTGATAAACTACTTGAAGATATCATATCAGTGTGACAAATACATTTTTTTGTGTGATTTTTTAAAAATTTTATTTTCACAGAATATGCTGATGATGATGATGATGATTGAGGCGTCAGTGAGTGAGTGAGTGAGTGATGAGTATAACTGGAAAGAGTATCAATGATGATGATGATGATGATTGGATCGGTTCAACTATGGTCAAATGCATACTTCCCATTGTAATACAGCGGTATCTTTGCCTCCAGTCGATATAAGCCTAGATCCATCGTATAAAAATGTTACATTTGTTACATGACTTGAATGACCATTGTATGTACGGAATTCTGCCTGGAAAAAAAAAACGCAACACAAAAGGTGAGAATGAATGTTACACATTTGAAATCATCAATCAATCAATCATTGTTACTAGACCAACATTATAGAAACCTGGAAGCATTGAAAGACGACCGTTTCATCCTGGTATGGGACTACTCATCAGTGGCAGTGCGCATCGACGACTCCTCCTGCACATCGCAGGATTCGAACCCGGGACCTTCGGTATTGTGCGCGAACGCCTAACCATTGGACCACTGTATCGGCCGGCATCTAACGGTGTTAATGTCTAACTCTGATTGATCTATGGATTTTGCGCGACCTCATCCATTTATCTTTGGTAGTAGTTACTGCCTACACCCGACAGGGTTCAACTCCATGAATGTATAGTAGTGATTTAGTTAAAAGTTTAATCAGTAATATACAATAAATAATACACTAGTATACATCTCAAATTCACAACTATAATTCAATGCATAAATAATTGAAAATGTAAGTGTGTGTATGTATAACTAACTAACTAACTAGCTAGTTAGTTAGTTGTCAACATAAAGTATGATTGAATGTCAAAAAAACAGTGTATGATTTAATTGTTACAATAAGATAACAAAATATGAGTTGATCATTTGGCTTCACGTGAAATGTTACAATCTATACGGTCTGTCATATTATGAAAAAAAGTAACTCAAGAAAAAAAAACATTGATGTAAATGACATTTCTTATTTTAGACACAATTATTGGCACAAAGAGGTGATATTTGAATATTGTATGCCCCCACATAAATCAGTGAATAATTTGTGTGTGAATGGATTTCGTAGAGGATCATCACTCCCTACGCCTTTGATATACAGGTGCCGATCCACAAGGCAATGGAACGATGTTAGAAGATATAGTTCAATGGTAGCGCATTAACATTTCAAGATCCTGGAGAGAATGTGTGTACCATTGACTTGAAATCTGGGTGTTACGAATAAGCGTGAACACGTCATTTGATATACTTGAACTATAATTACGAGGATCGAGGATCCAGCGACACGATATGTTGTTACTCTAGTCCCATTGTCCCAAACCCCCATTTTGAGTAAAAGAAGAAGTGTTCTTAGTTAGAGTTTGGATTAGCGGTACAAGTTTGAAATCTTCGTTACGTATTCACATCAACTTTTGTACTGTTGGCAATGTTAAATCCCAAGAACTCACTTGGAAAAGGTCCTAATTTCGTATATTTTACATTTTCGCGCATAAGTTGTTTAGTTGACCTTCAGCCTACATTTTCCACCCGGAAAATCCTTGACTGTCATTGGTTGAAGGATTGTCTTCGTACGCTATTTATTTATGTCGCCCTGCCAAGGACGTTCCTATTTCGATTTGTTTATTTGTGAACCTTATATATTTTGTGGATGCTTGTAGAATAAATACACTTCGTACGCCTTATCAAGACTTCTTGATACAGTTTGCCGAGTCGGAGACAAACGAATTAGAATAGCCTATCATATCACTGTATCATAGACCTTCAATCGGTTTTCCGACTAACGGCAAACTCGTAATATATATATATATATATATATATATATATATATATATATATATATATATATATATATATACAGTCAACCTCATGTGTAATGTGTATTCAATAGTTCTATTTTCAGTAAGAGACTTAATTTCTAACACAAAACTAACTTAATGAAATGAAATTTTCATTAGAAGAAAAAGAAAATCCTCGTTCACTGACACCTTTAAAACATGTGCATTTTTTTTCTACAACAATTTGATCAAGTTAGACATTAACACCGTTAGATACCGGCTCAGTGGTCCAACGGTTAGGGCGTTCGCGCACAATACCGAAGATCCTGGGTTCGAATCCTGCGGGGTGCAGGAGTCGTGGATGCGCACTGCTGATGAGTCCTATACCAGGACGAAACGGCCGTCCAGTGCTTCCAGGTTTCTAATGGTGGTCTAACATTGATCGATTCATGGTTACAAATAAAACTTAACAATCTTCACAACAACCCCGCAATACAATTGATTCAAAGAAAAACATTCATTCATTGTTCAATAGCTTACTTTAGGTTTATGACATGGATAATTGAATAATTTAATTTTTCCATAATCATCTCCAGTAGCTAAAATATCCGCAGTTGGACTATGAGCACAAGCATTAATATCTGTGCCATCAGAATCCGGTGGCCAAATTCCAGCTACTTCCCAACCAAGTGTACATGTTTGACTAGCCCATTCTAAATCACGTAGTGTACTAGGTGAAACAACCTGAGAGTAATAGTTAAAATAAATTAACAAGAATGAAATTATCGTAAAAAAGTTACAAAAGTCAAATTTTTTTAAAAAAAAAACATGACATTGTTACGCATGCATGTAAACACACAAGCTGATATGATTGAACTATTACGAGTTTACCTTAGTCAGTAAACGAGAGCGAGGATCCGGCGACACGACAAGCTACTCAAATCCGATTATCCCAACTACCCCTCCCCCAATTGAGTAGAAGAAGAAGACTTGATATTAAGCAGGACATGCATTCTACAAGCATTCAGAAAGTACGAGGTTCGAGTGTAGAAGAAGATAAGGATCCTGGACTAAGGAGCCGGATCCTAAAACGTTCTAGATAATGCGTATTTATACCGTTAGGTCGAATTGAAAACTACATTTGAAGTATGTGACAGTGATAGTTAGGACGATCAATAGGAACTGACCAATAGAATTAGAATTACAAATAATTCCTCTTAGGATATTGGATGAATATTCTAACAAAAATACTATGCTAAATAATTGAAACGGGCATATAGGATCCTAGTATTATCATTTATTTGACCGCACCTTTTCAAGATAAAGAAATATCTCGATTTACGCTTCATGTTTCGAGAAGTCCCACTGCTGCTACCTGTCATCTCGCTGGTGTAGGTATAGCGATGAGTTTGAAAGCAGAACTAGCTCTCTTAGACTAGATCACCAGTAGACAGTCGTTTATACGCTACCCGACTAAACGAAACAGTAACCTCTAACCTCTAGACCGCCAGGCCGGCATCCAACGGTGTTAATCGTTAACTCTGATCAATCTAGAGATTTTGCGCGACCTCACTCATTTGTCTTTGGTAGTTACTGCCTACATACGATAAGGTTGAACTCCATCGGTCGCATCCTCTCATTAGAGCACTGGACGGTCATCCTGGTATGGAACTCATCAACAGTGTGCATCTACGACTACCACCACCCTCAGGATTAGAACTCAGGGTCTTTGGTCTTGCGTGCGAACGTATTACCCTGGACCACTGAGCCGGTGGCATCCAACAGTGTCTATGTCTAACTTCGTTCAAACAACAGTCTTGCGCAATCTCATTCACTGTCTTCGGTGAGCACTGCTTCACACCCGAACAAAGTTGAACACCGGTAGTTACGATTTTTCAATAGAACTCAGAGTTAGTTACCCGTGAGCACATGATACTTTTCATGATAGGGTTGTGGAGATTATTGAGTTACTTTTTGAAATCATGAATCGATCGAAAAGTATCGTCAAACAAATGACTATTCACATAATGACTTTAGCTTAAAGAGAAAAGAAAAATTGTATAATGACTAGAGTTAAAGTAATTCTCGTTGTGTATTGATGTGATTAACACACAATCACTTCGTTGTGTTTACAACAATACAAATTACATGATGGTGTAACTTGGTAACCATAGAAACTAATCCGAATAATCAAGAATTTGGACTCTTTTTCAAAGTATTGTTATTAATTACAGCCATTTTTAGATCGCTAAAAAATAAGTGTGATTTTTCACTTCAAGGTATGATGTGGTCCCCCAGGGTTTTTTTTATAAACCCGTGTATGATTAAGATGTGTGGGCAATAAACGTTGGCAGTTGACTTCTCTCTTAGAGTCAAAGGAGTAGAGATATAGAAAGGTTTGAGTATAGTCAGTTAGTCAGTTATAACGTAGAACTTCGTACGTACGCTTATATAAGTTCAGGTAGCTAGCTATATCACCTTAGCACCCAGATGAAATTTTCAATTCAAATCCCACAGTGCTAGAGATAATAGAAGCATTAGCGGTAATGGAGAAGATTGGGGTTTGAAAAAAACAAATACAGAAAGGGTGATATATAGGTAATAAGAAATCCAGAAGATTAGAATTTCGGAGAACAAAAAGAGTGAACGCAACTGCGCCATTGCAAACGGTTTTGAGTCATGTCATTCAGGGTATCTAACCATCGATTATTATCATATCGCGGGCCACAACCATGTAGTCGACACCTACCGACATGACTCAGTCCACTCGTCAGTGACTTCATGGATTTCTGCCATGTTTTGGTTTGGCAGCTCCTAGCTTTCGTCCGAGCTATTCCTATATCGCAAAACATAGCTCGACGAGGCACATGCATCACATGTCCCGACCACCTCAACTGATGGAGTTTCACTACTTCGTCTATTGACCTGCCATCCTTACCTAGCACTCGTTTTCGGACAACAACATTGTTTACTCAGTTGTCCTAGGATACAGGAGCAATGCTTCGAAGACAACTATGATCGAAAACCAGTAACCTACGAATATCTTCTACACTGACTGGACATGGTTCACAGCCATTAAGTAGGAAAGAATGGACTGCTGCGCGTCCTATAGTCAGCGGACGGATTTCTCGCCTACGCCGTAAGTGACGCAAAGTGGCAAAAGCCAATCGAGCCTTTTGTATCCCTGCTGAGATTTCGTCACACACCAGGTCATCGGCACTAATGAAGCTCGCGGGATAAGTGAAGCGGTCAACGCGCTCGATTACTTCACTCCGTATCACCACTAGCTCAGGTGCCGATGCAACCCAATCTTGAAGCAACATTTTGCATTTCAAGAGGGAGAACCGCATCCCGAACATACTTGAATTGTTGCTTACAGTTGTTAGAAGACTCTGTATTTTGTCAACATCTTCACCGAATAGGACTATGTCATCAACATACTCTAAGTCAACGCCATAAGCTCTAACTCAACTAGTAGTGTTCGAGTAGAAAGCTTGCATAAATTTAATGTACTTCTTTGATACACCTTTCAATGACAGACACTGTCACAGAACCTTACAATCGACCGAGTCAAATGCTGCTTTAAGGTTGAGAAATACTACGTAACGATGCATGATAGAAGAGATTTTCTGTGTAATCAGTGAAGAGTAAGTGATTCACGTCAAAATCCATTGAAAGAACTCTATGGTTCTTTCAAAAGGTGGTTAGAAAAGACGGAATAGCCTTATATTCATAAAAACGAGACTTACTGTGGAAAATTCATCCACTACCGAAAACGGTGTATACATACATGTAAATGAAATCCAATAAAGACAGGGCATAAAACATATTGATAATATAATAAACAAACACATTATACTATTCTTACTTGTCTACAATCAAATGCTGTCCAAAATAATATTTCATAATCACCTGATACAGAACGTAAAAATCGACTATCTACAGACCAATCAATATGAAGAATAAAACTAGTATGACCGCAACAACGTCCAACACGATTATATTTATAACCACGTTCTAATACATTATATACATAAATAATATTATCTCTTGAACCAAGTGCTAAATAATTTCCATCTTTTAAAAATAAAAAAATAAAAAGAGAAGTGAAGATGAAGTAGTTAGTATGATGATATGATATGATGATAAGATTTGTTGAATAGAAGAAAATGAGACTGTATGACTGACTGTATGCGTAACTAACAATGAAACATGAACACACATAACGAACAAAAAAAAAGTAATTTAACGTTGAAAATGATTTAGAAAAAAAACCCAGCTGTTTTATTGAGAACATGAACTAATCTGAATCAGACAACTGTTGAAAAGGAAGACACTTTACTTACTTACTTACTTTACTTACGCCTGTTACCCCTAATGGAGCATAGGCCGCTCACCAGTTTTCGCCAACCAAATCTGTCCAATGTTTGTTCATTCCTCTCATATCTTCCTCTAATTCTCGGCGTAATGTATTCTTTGGTCTTCCTCTTTTCCTTTTGCCTTGAGGGTTCCGTGTGAGGGCTTGTCTCGTGACGCAGTTAGGTGCTTTTCGTAGTGTGTGTCCTATCCTCTTCCACCGATTCTTCCTGATTTCCTCCTCCACTGGAATCTGGTTTGTTCTCTCCCACAGTTCGTCGTTGCTGATGGTGTATGGCCAACGAATACGAAGTATTTTGCGTAGACAACTGTTAAGGGATACTTGTATCTTCTGGATGATGCCTTTCGTAGTTCGCCAAGTTTCCGCTCCATACAGTAGAACTGTCTTCACATTTGTATTGAAAATCCTGATTTTGGTTTTGGTTGAAAGTTGTTTGGAGTTCCAGATATTTTTCAACTGTAGAAACGCAGACCTTGCTTTGCCAATCAGCGCCCTCACATCTGTATCGGATCCACCTTGATTGTCGATGATGCTGCCCAGATGTGTAAAGGTTTTCACGTCCTCCAAGGCATCTCCATCAAGAGTGATTTGGTTGGTGCATGTTGTGTTGCATCGGAGAATTTCGCTTTTTCCTTTATGTATGTTGAGACCTACTGCTGCAGAGGCTGCTGCTACACTGGTCGTCTTCTCTTGCATTTGTTGTTGCGTGTGAGATAGAAGAGCCAGGTCATCTGCAAAGTCCAGATCGTCCAGTTGTATTCTCATGATAAAGGATTATTCAGTTGTGTACATCCACGACCCCATAACAAGGTATTGAACACAGGACAAACGGTCTAGATAGAGAGAGAGGCAGTACTTTAACTCTTGGATCACTATGTTGTCATTCAATAATTACTGAATATTGCTGACTGATTGTAGTTACTAGACGTGTACACAACTTTTGGGATACCATCCGGAAGTAATATCCTGTAGAGGCGGGCGACATGAATATGCACGACTGAGTGGCATACTAGAAAGAAATAGTCCCCCTGTAGTGAAGGAGAACACAGGTGAGGGCAACCGAATTGTATTTAACGAAAATTACAGAGTTACTCAGTAAAATAGGAAAACCATATCGTAAATCGTTAATTTGCAAATCTTCAATCCATCATCAATCCATTGTCTGACATTTCACTATTCATGCGTTTCATACAAATTCCATTGTGTTCCCACTCTTCTTCCTTTCACTTGATCTTCTCCCATCTTCTGCTGCCAGACATTATTACGTTTACACTCACGTCATATACTACTTATAATTAGCGCGCACCACACCCCGATGCCTAATTCGATTCCAATGGTTGTCTGATTTAGGTGTTAGTTCACGTGATCTCAATCAAATTCAACAATCATCATCAAAAAAACCGTTTACTGAAAATTGATTTTCATTCGTTTTTCCGCTCAAATCATGAAAGAATCAACCCAGAAAAAACATAACAAAACATTTCAAAAAAATAAATATGTATACTTTGGATGATAATACAATTTTGGACTGCTACTTTCTTTCTTCGTTTACACAACTGTAAAACTATTTAAAACTATAAGAAAAATAAGTGTATCAACATACTACTATTATTATTATGATCATTATTATTATTACTACTAACAAAATAGAAATTTGTGTAGACCAAAGGACAAAATGAAAAAGGAATAAAAACCAAATATCAACTACAAAATAAATAAATTGCTCGGACTGTGAAAAACACTACATAGGACAAAGTGGACAACCTCTTCATCAACTTCGTTTACGTGAACATCAATTAACAGTCAAACGCCATGACAACGCTTCGCTTATACCAATACATACCGACAATTGTGAACATACATTTGATTGGAACAATGTGGAAATACTGGGTAGGGGGGAGGACAAAGAACACTAGAGAACTTTTTAGAAGCTTGGTATTCAGGTCAATCAGTAATCAAAAAAACACATCGACATTGACTCAATTTATCAATCAGTCAGAAAAATCATAGGTTACACAGGATCAAGAAACATATTAAAAGGGGGATGCAATCAAAACAAAGTTGCAAACAACGACAGGTCAAAAGCCAACAGCAACCAATCAAGATGGAGGTTAGCAGAACAAGCTACAGGTCAAACGTGGAGAAATTCGAAAGCTTCACTTCTATCTGAAGTTTGTGCTGATGATGATGTTGTTCAGAAGAACAATGAAAGCTCCACAACCCAGCTCAGAGAACCGAACAACACCACAATCATCCACCTGAGCTACAAGTTTTCTCCACCATCTCAGAAATTTGTGTAGATATATAAGAATTGTGCGGTTCCTAGCATTAACTTTTTACACATTTTTGAAATCATCAACCAATCAATCATTGTTAGACCAACATTATAGAAACCTGGAAGCACTGAAAGACGGCGTTCTGTCCTGATGTGAGACTCGTCATCAGCAGAAGAGCACGTCCACGACTCCTGCTGCACCTCACAGGATTCGAAGCAAAGCAAACAGTTCATTCACACTAAGACTCAGTCAGTCAGTCAGTCAGATGCAACGTAAAACTTCGTACGTAAGTACATCAGTTCATGTCGCCATACCACATCAGCACAGACAGATGTAATTCTCAATTCAAATCCAATAGTAGTAGAGGTAGTAAAGGTATTAGAAGTAATCGGAGAGGTTAGGATTAGAAGATAATATTCAAGAAGTATGATTCAGTGAGAAAAGTTTAGAAAGTCAGAACTGGAGGGGTTGAAGAATCCAAAAGATAAGGATTTGAGAGAACACAAAGAATAAATGCACCGGCGCCATTGCAAACGGTTTTGAGTCATGTCATTCAGGGTTTCTAATCATCGATTATTATCATCTCGCGGACCCCAACCAGGTAGTCGACAACTACCGACATGACTCAGTCCATTTGTCAACGACTTCATGGATTTCTGCCATGTTTTGGTTTGGCCGCCAATAACTTTCTTCCAACCTATTCCTACATCGTAAAACATAGCTCGACGAGGCAGTCGGTGGTTGGGCATACGCAACACATGTACCAACCACCTCAACTGATGAAGTGTCACTACTGCGTCTATTGATCTGCCATTCTTACCTAGCGCCCGATTCCTAATAACAGCGTTTCTCACTCGGGTGTCCCACGATATACGAGCAATGCTTCGAAGACGTTCGAGCATTTACTTTTTGCACATTTTTCAAATCATCAATCAATCATTGTTAGACCAACATTATAGAAACCTGGAAGCACTGAAAGACGGCCGTTCTCTCCCGGTGTGAGACACGTCATCAGCAGAAGTGCACATCCACGACTCCTGCTGCACCTCACACGATTCGAAGCAAAGCGAACAGTTCATTCACACTAAAACTACTCATACTTTATCATGTAATTCTAATCACAGCAGACATAAGAAAAATAAACAGACACCTGAGTATTTAAAAGACTGTTTATTCTTTTTACAACTATGACTACGTTGCTACGCGCTGATTGGCTAATTTCCTATCCAATCAGCGCCTGACCAATTCTTGGAGAACAGGGTAGAAAATTCTTGTAGTGTTAGCTGCACATGCTGATTGGCTAAATCTAATCCAGTCAATCACGTGAATTTCTATCCAGAAGCTTCTCATGTAAATGCTATAAAGAAACTAACGTTGTATCCCATTGACATAATGTGTTTTGTTCTGATTTACAATTAATTAAATTTTCTATTTCATAAGTAGTGAATGATGTTATTTCGTAATTTTTTTTTGTATCGCTGAATGGCAGTATTCACTTAAACACAATACTGATAATGGTAAATGCCACTCAAATGCCTTAGTACAGTCGAAAGTGGGGAGAGTTCGCTTTCCCTCTTCAAATGCTTACAAATGGCCATGAGTCTACGGTCGCTACCAAAGAAGTCCAGCTTATTGCCTTCTAGCGGCCACGAATGTCACTTACAAAATTGAGAATTGAAACACAACGATAAACAGCATTATATCTTATTTGATAGTTAGTAGGAAATAGATTAGAACTATCAATACGATTTAAATAAGATACCTAGAATCGAAACTAATGTATGAAAATGATGATGATGTTGAGTGATTAGTTTATTGGGGAATTTATGGATAACATTTGAGTGACACCAGAGCGACTTTGAAAAAATTAGTATAGATGATGTTAGGCTGCTAGTTAGATCAAGAGTCATGCAGTAATGTGATCAATGGAATTTAATCAGTATTAATAGAACAAACTAGATAAACGTAACATTTGTTAATATAAAAAATAAATTTAATAGGAATAAACCTTGTATTATATGGTTATGTAGATTGTTGAGTTACTTTTAAAGTCATGAATCGATCAGGATTAGACCTGGAAGCACTGAAAGACGGCCGTTTCGATTTTGGTATGAAACTCATCAGCAGTAGTACGCATCCACGACTCCTGCATCCCGCAGAATTCGAACCCAGGAACGCCTAACCTCTGAAAAACTGAGCTGGTATTTAACGGTGTTAATGTCTAACTTCAATCGATTCACGATCTTGCACAACCTCATGCACTGTCTTCGATAGTTACTGTCTACACCCAAACAGGTTGAACTTCACTGGTCATGTCTTCCCACTAGGACTCGGAGAAGATTTCTTCCAGTGCTTCCAAGCTTCTAATGGTGCTTTAACATTCATCTATTCATGATTTCAAATGTGTATGTAACTTAACAATCTTTACAACCCCGTATTGAAACAGTGTTTATGTTTAACTTCAACCAATCACTTGATTCAAACCGGAACGGAATTGAACTCCAATAGTCACAAATTCTCGTTAGAACTCGGAGAAACTTCCTCTCGGAATTAATCACTAATAAGTATATGATAATTTACTTTATAAATTAGTGGAGATCATTGAGTTACATTTGAAATCATAAAATCAAACAATCCCGACTTGATGGTTCAAAGATTAAACGTTTTCGCATGCAAGATCAAAGGTCCTGTATTCGATTCCTATGAGTCAGTCACAAGAGTCATACATGTACACTGCTGATAAGTCCGATATTATCACTACTGACAAAACAACCGTCCACTACTTCCCTATTTCAAATAATAATCTAACATATATCGATAGGTTAGTTAGTTTATCAAAGACAACAACATCAACAAACAACAACGTACCAGGTGAATAAGCAACACATTCAATTTGTTCACCTAGACCATCAGAATGTGCAGCAATAATTTCTTGTTTTAAACAATTCAATACTAACCAACGTCCTGTACTAGTACCTAATACAACTAACAAATCATGTGAATTCATCATGGAAGATACGCTGAAATCTAAATTAGTAGTTTCATCGATTGGATTATTATCGTTATTAACATTATGACTGTTCGTATTATTATTATTAGTTGAATTTAACATTCCATTTGTCAGTGTCATTGATTGAATTGGATAGAATACAGCACAATGTATTTGATCAGTAAATTCTTTTGACCATATAGCTTGTTTTGATAATGAATCCCATAAAATCACTAAATGATCACGTCCACCAGTTAAAAATTGATGAGCTTGTGGATGTTTAGCAAGTGCCCAAAATTCTTCTGAATGACCATAGATTAGTGGGCTGATTTCCATACCAGGAGCAGCCTAAAAAAGAAAAAAACAAAAGAGGGGGCGAAAAAAAATATCGATATCAATAAAAGTCACAGTGATAGATTCGCTTCAGTTGTTCAGTTTCTTAAATCATACATAGTATTTTCGTCAACGCTGTAGGAAACTATTTTGAGCTGTTGTTATTTAAAGCCTCTAATCATTGGTTGCAATTGTCTCGTGAGCTTCAGTCTACACATACAAGTATGGCTTAGTCCAGTTGTCTATTAACTTCATGAATTAATGCCATGTTTTGGACTTGGTCATCTCTAGCTTTCTTCCAGTCTATTCATACACCAAAAAATATCTCTCATCTATGTATGTAGTCAGTCGGTCGGATGGGCACAAAACATATGTCTCAACCATCTCAACTGATGAAGGTTCAATACTTCGCTAAGTGATTTACAATCCTTGCCTAGTACTATTTTCTTGACACTAGTATTGTAATGGCACATATTTTCACCGAAATTCTAATCTTCTGAATTCCTTATCATCTCTATCTCTCTCGCTTTCTAAACTTATCTAACTGAATTATACTTGTTGGATAATATCTTCGAAACCCTAACTTCTCCATTACCAGTAATATTTATACTATCTCTAGTACTATGATATTTGAGAATTGACAATCGCGTCTATGTGATAATATGGTTGTTAGGATATTCATTCAATATCCTAAGAGAATTATTGATCAAATCCTATTGGTCGATTCCTATTGGTCAAAATTATGGTCGTTTAAACTGTCAAAGTCAAATACTTCAATGTTGTCTCTTATTGGTCATCCGGACTGTCAATGTCATTTCAAATGTTACTTCCTATTGGTCGTCTTAACTGTCAATGTCACAGAATTCGATGCTGTTCCTATTCGACCAAAATGTATAAATACGCATTATCTGAAGCGTTTTATGACCACAACCAGGACCAGGGCTCGGTCCCAGATCCCTAGTCCGGGGTCCTGATTATCTTCTGGATTCGGACCTCGTATTTTCTGGATGCTTGTAGAATACACGTTCTACTTCATATCACGTCTTTTTATCTTTACTAAATATGGGGGTTGGGTTAATCGGATTTCAGTAGCATGTCGTGTCACCGGATCCTCGATCCTCGCTCTCATTTTCCGACTAGGTAAACTCGTAATAGTTCAAGTATATCAAGTTGACGTGTTTACGTGCAGGCGTAACAGTGGTATGACAACTTGAACTGATGTACATACGTACGCAGTTCTACGATGTGACTGACTGACTGACTGACTAACCTGTAGTATCATATTTTTTGTAGTACCAATAATTAATAATTCACCAGGACCTTGTGTAATCGTACGTACAGCACCATATAATTCAGGTAATTCTTCAATTTGACCAGTTGGATTAAGAGCTGCATCAAAAAATACTAAACGACGATCTTTTGCACCACCAGATATTAAATGTCCATTATTTGTTAAACATAATGAAAAAATACCGCCGTCATGTACACCTTGACATATTTGATTCACTGTATTTGTACCTAAATGAATAACAGTAATAATAATAATAATAATAATAATAATGATAGGTCGAAAATATTCGTAAAGAAAAAAATTTTTGTTCCTTTGTCAGTGTGTCATTTTCATTAGGGACTCCATTTTATTCATTTAAAGCTATAAGCTATAAGCATCTTTGGTGAATTAGAGAGTTATTAAAAGGTATAGGAAAGATTTGTGACTAATTTGGTCTTGTGTGTTGTTACGGTTATGAGAGTGGATATCATTTCCAGGCTGCCCATACCAAGGAAGGGTATTTCTTGAGGAACCTAAAAAAGGAAGTCGGATTGTGCCTTTGGACTGAGCAACCAGGGAGCGTAACCGCAGAGTCCAAAAGAAAGCTGCTTGAGGATAGTCACGCACGTCTTTTATACGGGGGGGGGGTTTAAAAGTATTAGCTCCACTGTTGTTTAAAAGACGTTACAGCCGGAGACGGAAATTTGTGGAGTAAGGTGAGGTGTGACATTTTTGGGGACGACCTTTTCTAACCCCCTCCTTACTTGTGAGAAGGCAAATGGTGGTTGTTTGAGGGAAACACCTAACTGCTGTAACACCCCTCTAAAGTCAACAGTACGACTTCGCCCTCAGACCTTCAGCAGCTGCTTTTAGTCTCATCGTTCTCCAATCGACCTGTCTGGCACGGTAGAACCTTCAGAAACTTATATATTCCAGCCAATATAGCTCGGTTGGGTCATCATGATAGGCAAGATAGACGAGTCGGATAAAAAAGCAAAACCAAATAGGAGTCGAATCTTGAAATAAAATCACCGGTGTAAATTATACTTCAACAAATAGAAATTCGCTGCTGACTTAAATAAATGAAAAATGTCAAATATTGCGCACCTATTGATAAGTGATATGCTGATGCGGCGTTTAGTATCTCTAGATCTGACTTTCATTTAGACAAACGAATAAATTTTAGTATGAAAGCCATGAACAATACGAAATTTTTTTACGACAAATATATCACTTTATCTTCTTACAGATGTGTCACAGGTACCAAAGTGAATCATGACGAAAGAAAGAAAAATTACAACAAAGCAAAAATAGTCTCACACCACTATTCAATTCTAGAAGAGAAATTGTTCAAAGATATGTTATTATTATTATTATTGAATATAATGCTTTTAGATCAGATGATAAGGTAGCGCGTTTAATCTGTACTCAACTTGAAGATAATTTAAAGATGGATACCTACAGCTGAGTAGTCCCTACATTATCGCTAATACTTCTGAGGTATTAGCGATGTCTTAGAAGCATTGCTCGTAGATCGTGGGACAACCGAGTAAGCAATGCTGTCATTAGGAAACGAGTACTGGGTAAGGATGGCAGATCAATAGATGAAGTAATGAAACTTCATTAGTTGAGGTGGTTGGGACACGTGCTACGTATGCCTAACCACCGACTGCCTCGACGAGCTATGTTTTGTTGTGTAGGAGTAGGTTGGAAGAAAGTTAGGGGCGGCCGAACCAAAACTTGGCAGAAATCCATGAAGTCACTGACTAGTGAACTGAGTCATGTTGGTAGTTGTAGACTACCTGGTTGGGGTCCGCGAGACGAAAGTCACCAATGGTTAGAGATCTTGAATGACATGGCTGAGAATAGTTTGCAATGGCGCAAGTGCATCCATTCTTTGAGCTCTCTCAAATTCTAATCTTCCTGATTCGTCAGCACCTCAACCTTTGTCTTTCTAACCTTATCTCACTCACTGAATTATACTTCTTGAATAATATCTTCGAACCCTAGTCTTCTTCATTACCATTAATACCTCTACTATCTTTATCACTATGGGATTTGATTTGACATTTGCGTCTCTGTGCTAATGTGGTATGGCAACATGAACTTATGTACATACGTAGGAAGTTCTACGTTGCAACTGACTGACTGCTAATACTTCTACTACATCCACTGTAGCAGCAAGAGTAGGAACCAGTAGAACAGAAACTTGTACTTCCACGTTCAAAAATCTAAAAATATTTTCATCTCACATAATTCTACTCTGAAATCGACCATCTCATTGCGTAACTTTAGGCAGTACAGAAAACCATTAAGTAATCATAGCGAAAAGTTCAACAATACGTTAAGTTGCCTGTATGTTTTTTTAAAACAAAATCAATGTAGAACAAACGGAATTCTCATTACCTCGTTTCCATGCAATAATATTTCCAGCAGAATCACCAGTTAACAAATCACCATTTTCAGCAAATGTTAAACAAAGTATAAATTTCGGTTTCTCAATTGGTTGCTTAGCATTCTAGGGATTATTAATAAAAAAAATGACAAATGATAACAGTGATTTATGTGTTTACATAACAGATTGCAATTATAACTGAATAACAACTATTGCCAATCAAACAGCAGTGAATGAAACAATGCACACAAAAAGTGAATTCAAGATGTAGTATACAGTCGATGCATTATAATCCGATTTAAGACTGCAGCTCATGGACTATTTTTCACGAAAGTCATTCATCCATTTATGTGATAGGGTCGTAGATATGCATCTGCCGAAGAATGTCATAATAGGACGAAACAGGTATTCTATGCTTACTGGTCTTGACTGGCTGTGTGACCTAAATCAGTTCAATATTTCAATATATTAGAGCAAAAAAATTCTTCGTAAAAAATTATTTCTACAGATGATAATAACCTATCCAATACATTTTGCAAACCTCAGTTCATTGATGTAATTAAAATTTACACACATGTCGAGGTAATAAAAAATGAAGTGCAGGATAAATATACAATAAATAAAAATAGCTATTATTAGAGTAAAGAAAAACATTCACAATGAAAAATAAATCAAAAATATTATCAATTCATGTTGATGTTGAGCATTTGGCACAAAAAACTATATTAGGTTATTTATTCAAAAATGAATGATAATTTTATGTTACTGAATATTGGTGAGTAGTATAATAAAATATACAAAAAAACTGAACTCAAAAAAATGAGTGTAAGTAAATAGAATGAAAATAAACATTGGATCAGTCATATTTCAATAAGGAAATACATTTACAATGAAAAATGAATCAAAAATATTATCAATTCATGTTGATGTTTAGCATTTCGCACAAGAAACTATTTATTACAAAAATGATTCATAGTTTTAAGTTACTGAATATTAGTGAGTAGTATAACAAAATACACATAAAAAACGGAATTTCAAAAAATTCTGAATAAATTGGGAGAACTGACCAGATTTTATGATTAATAATAAGCGAATCAATTACACAATCTATGATAAAAATTGTTTTTATTTTATTTTTTTTCAATTCAAAACATACTGTTTACTTACACTACACACATACACGCACACAAACACACGAAGTGAAGTAACCGAGATTTTTTACTCAGGAATATTTATTTACATGATTGCTATTCATTTTTTTCCAAATATCACACACACAACACCGTAAGTGAACATTGAAAAATGATCAAAAAGGATTGACTTATGGACATACGATGTAAACAAACAGTTTTTTGTGATATATATTTAACAGACATATGTAAACACGAGAAAAAAAAATGCTATAAGTAATAAGGTAAACAACTAACAATCATTATTCTTTTTTATATAATAAAGGATTGAATAATTTTATGACCATACAATTAATTTATAGACAAGTATATGTATATGTATAGGCTCAATCTATAGTTGTCAGAGTTATTCAACAAGACATAACAAATCGTAATATACAATATATGAAGAAATGAGGTTCATAATATATATGTGGAGCAGAGTGAAAGGTTGCTTACTCTCACCCTTTCTCTTTCTCCTGGTCATCGACTGGATTATGAAGACGTCGACATCTGGAGAGAAGCACGGTATCAACTGGACAGTTGAGATGCAGCTGGACGATCTGGACTTCGCAGATGACCTGGCTCTTCTATCGCACACGCAACAACAAATGCAAGAGAAGACGACCAGTGTAGCAGCAGCCTCTGCAGCAGTAAGTCTCAACATACATAAAGGAAAAAACCAAATTCTCCGATGCAACACAACATCCACCAACCAAATCACTCTTGATGGAGATGCCTTGGAGGACGTGAACACCTTTACATATCTGGGTAGCATCGTCGACGAAAAAGGTGGATGCGATGCAGATGTGAGGGTGTGGATTGGCAAAGCGAGGGCTGCATTTCTACAGTTGAAAAATATCTGGAACTCCAAACAACTTTCAAACAAAACCAAAATCAGGATTTTCAATACAAATGTCAAGACAGTTCTACTGTATGGAGTGGAAACTTGGCGAACTATCAAAGCAATCATCCAGAAGATACAAGTGTTTATTAACAGTTGTCTACGAAAAGTACTTCGGATTCGTTGGCCAGACACCATCAGCAACAACGTACTGTGGGAGAGAACAAACCAGATTCCAGTGGAGGAGGAAATCAGGAAGAATCGGTGGAAGAGGATAGGACACACACTACGAAAAGCACCTAACTGCGTCACGAGACAAGCCCTCACATGGAACCCTCAACGCAAAAGAAAAAGAGGAAGGCCAAGGAACACATTACTCCGAGAAATAGAGAAAGATATGAGAGGAATGAACAAACATTGGACAGAACTGGAAAGGGAATCTCAGGACAGAGTTGGTTGGAGAAAACTGGTGGGCGGCCTGTGGGGTAATAGGCGTAAGTAAAGTAAGTAAGTAAGTAAGACTGAAAGGTCAACAACAACCAACTGTGGGATAGAACAGAACAGACTCTAGCAGGCGAAGAAATAAGGAAGAACCAGTGGGAGTGGGATAAGATAAACATTGAAGGAAGCATCCAACTGCATCACAAGAAAAACCATCGCATGTGTCCGTCAAGGTTACAGGAAAAGAGGAAGACGTAAGTATATATTATGACGAAAATTCAAAACAGACATGAGTAGTATGAACATCAATTGGATAGAACTGGAAAAAGAGACCAAGGACAGAGTAGGTTGGAGAATGCTGGTCAGCGGCCTATGCTCCACACTGAGGGGTAACAGACATCATTAAGAAAAGTAAAGAGTGGAAGGTATTAGAAGATAATGATGGACGGTAAATGAAATGATAATAATAAAAGATCAGTCGAAACATGAATTTAATGTATGAGATTGTGTTGATGTGTGATGCGTGTTCCAATCCCAGATCCATTCGGATTACACCTTGTTGATGAGTGTCGAATATCACAAAGCCTATTTTCAGAGTATCCAGTCGATTACTTTCAACCAACAGATTACTTGTGATTGGTGAACGCACAGTCTATCGAATCTAGATGATAATTATGTTGTTACATTCACGACTCAAAAATGTAGCAGATGTTTGTGTATTTAAATGTTAAACGATGGATTACCTAGTTTTTCCAATCAAATATAAAGAAGCAGGAATCGAAACTAAGAACTTGACAGTTAAAAGTCAATCTTATCGATGAACACAAAGACCTCTGTTCAGTACACACAGACGTAGTATTGTTTAGTTATGATTGCTTTACACTGACAATTAGATTTCCAATTCATCAATGATATTATCATTTAGTTTCTCAAGCGTAGTTCAATCACGACTTGAAGTTATAATCTCTAATCACTCTAGGTGTAGTTATTAGTGGTATTTTTTTTAACTCAAATTCATATTAGTCATACAACGATACCAATGAGATTATGTGTAACTCAAGAAAAATAATGAAATTGAGGAGGCAGCAAGAAGTGCTTTACATTAGAGGACTTTCATGGACTTTTCAAGGAGATAATGTTTAGCTTTGATGAAATCTAGCATTGACATTAACTTGTCAAAACGTTATATTCATATATTTCAACGCATATGACAATCTTGAACAATTTCAATGATACATGTCAACCTGTAATTAGTAATCTGTGTCGATCGACAGAAAATGATCATTCAGTTTAACATAGTCTGTGGAGGCTTCTTCGACACTACGGTGTGCCTGAGAAAATAGTTAACATCATACAGAATTCTTATGATGGATTCAACTGCAAAATCGTACACGATCGACAGCTAACAGACTCATTCGAGGTGAAGATCGGTGTCAGGCAAGGTTGCTTACTCTCACCCTTTCTCTTTCTCCTGGTCATCGACTGGATTATGAAGACGTCAAAATCTAGAGGAAAGAAAGTTATCCAATCGGCAGCCAGGATACAGCTGG